GATATAGAATCATTAATTACGTATACAAACCTTATAAAAAACGTATCATTTCCTTATTTCGATTTCTTATAGGGAAGGTGGGTCGTTCATTACACTATATCTTTCTACTGATTCGTGATGATCTACTACTTGTCTGCAAGCCAACTTTCGTAAATATTGACAATAAGAATCGTTTCTACCTCCATGAATCCTGCTAGCATGGTCTCCACTTATCTTCCTCAATTTACTCGAAGTAATCCTATGTTGAACTAAAGTGAGATTAATTAGATCTACATTAACTATACCGCTTTTGTTTTTTCATAAGAAGGTAAATTTTTCTGGTATTGCTTTTTGAATCTAGGTAAGTAACTCCTTTGCTCATATTGGATCCTTTTCTATTGAGAGGAAAGGTTGAGGTTCCCCTACTCCTGTTTCTTCTTTAATTTTAGAGTAGCCAGTACAATATCAGGAATATTTAGAGTCATACCAGATTTCATCTGATACTTCATATTTATCAATATAAAAAGTTGCTACATCTGCCGATTGCATGCTTAACATTATCATTACATCAACCAAATCTTCCTTAGAAGGTGATAAGGTGAAATCACATTTCTCTAGTCTTTCTCGAATCAATTCTAAGAAAAAGTGTTCAGGCTAATCGACACCTTCAAATTTGTCAAGTATAAGCCATCATGCCTGAATTTCATTTGATTCAGTAGTAATATGAGAAATTTTGGTCACTTCTTTTTTGAGATAATCAGCTTCATGATTCCATAACTTTTTTTGCAATAAAGTAAATTAAGAACTTCCAGTGACTGGATTAGATGCGGAACTTCCCAAATGATATAAAATTTGTTTATTTTTTCAGACGAATAATCATTTTCCACAATTTCTTGGACAATTTTATTAACAGTATCCCTGCCTTTTCAAGCTTTCCAGTAGGTCGAATAGGAATGAGAACTTCTACTTGTTCCTTAATAAGCCTTAATTGTCAAAAATGCGTTTTAGCATTGAATCTTACCTTGTGATCATCCTTCAAACTTTCGTTAATTTCCTCTGTGTATTTAGCTAGTTCAGGTGATGAAGTTTTAGAAGTCTATTTATGACGATTCATGAAATCTGTAGCAACTTTTGCCATATTGTTTTAATATAGTATAGTTAAGAATATTAAAACGTACTAATTTTATATTACGTATAAAAAAGTTCAATTTGAAAAATATTCCTGATAATTTATTATGTGATTCCTCTAGTACCCGTTCATGCTCGGTGAAAGGTTAGATGAGCAAAAAAAATAATATAACTTATGACCTAGTCAAAAAGAGTATTTCATCAATTTGAAATCTGCAGATAGATATGATATGCGAAAAAATATATAGTCATAGGATTATAATAATTTAGAATTTTATATCGCCTATATGTAAAGAATATAAAGATCTCTTACCTAAACACTTTACCTATAAACTGGCTTCTTACTCGTTCTTTACCAAAATATAGCATTCTCCTAGAGTATGCTTATATTTTTTTGCCATTCCTTATCATCATAAATATACTTTTGGGATTTTCTCACATCTTCGAACTCCTAGAAATATATTTCTTTGCTTATTAACTTTTCCCTTCTAGTTATGTAAAATAAATCATTTGGATTTATCTTATTTTCTCTAGCAAATTCAATGATTTTTGCATCCGCCATCATCCTGTCTCGATACTCCTAAGATAAGTTGACGTTTTTTTCTGTAATTATTATAAACTTATCAGGATCTTTACCATGATTGATAGCCTATTTTCTGAAACACTTTTCTCGCTGGATTCTTGTAGATAATATTTCATTATTACTGGATTTGAGTACTTTCAACATATTACTGATACACTCAATAGGCTTGAAAGGTTTGATAGTTTCAGGTTTATTAATTACTGGCTCAGTTGGTTCAAAAGCCTTAGTAGTTTCAGATATCCCAGATGTTGAGATGACTGAAGCTTCAGTTTTTCTATTTTTCAGGAAATAATTTCTGGCATATTGAATATGAATATGTCTGCTATCTTATTTTCAGATAAGTCGGATTGAGATGTATCTTCAAAAAATTCTTTGATATTGCCTAGGCCAGATTCATAAAGCTTGGTTATAATTTTAGTGCAGTTGAGAATTTACTGATATACTCTTACTCCATTATCTGATGAATATGTTCAATCAATACCAATTAGTGAAAATTTAGTCCCAGCATCCTTCTTAGCTAATGGCTTCTCTCCATTACACTCACACCATTTAAGATAATCCTGGTATACTTTTTCACAGCTAAACCTATTAATACAATTTTCAGGCCAAGATACAATATAATCAATTATAAATCGAATAGGCTTAGGAAGTTATCTTCGCATTATTTCTATCTTCATGTTAGTATTGGAAATATCTTGTGGTTTAAAATTTGAGAGGTTACGACTAAGAAGATATTACATGATTATTCCTGACGCATCAGGGTGGTCTAAGATCTTAAACAAGCAATCAAAATATGTGAAATTTCCTCTATAGTGTGATGATATATCAAAATAAACTATATGAAAACCTCCTATATCTACTTTAAGTGAAGCATCATGATTACTTATAACCATTCATCCAGAAAAGTCTCTTAATCATAAAGTTTCAAGGTCTTTTCATTCTATATTCACCCTTCTGATAGTTATGAGATCTTTGAGACGGGAATTAAACTTATGCCATTCCCTACTAGACATCCTATTTCATTTAAAACAATGAGTTTACGCCCTTAAAGGGGACTGTTGAATTTACTAAGAATTTTTACCAAATCTGATATAACGAAATAAAGATGCAGTCCTAAGACTTTGTCACCAATAAAATCAATGATAATATTTTTTTCCACACTATTGTAATGTCGATTTTAGTACTAAAATAGAACAAGGCTTCTCTTCTGGTTTTTGCACTAAAAATGCCTACCAGTTTCCAATATATTTATTGAATCTTTTATCACCATCACAAATTATATTTAGGATATACCAGAGAATCAGATCCATAATCTCAGGATTAATCTCATCTGTTAGTTTGGCTAAAAACCCTAGGAATAGGTTAAAGAAATCTGTAACTGATCGAGGAATGTTTGAAGGGTATGGGAGGAAATTGGTATCTTCATAAACTATTAGACCTTTAGTAACTGCTTAGTCTAACAATGATTTTAACTTTACTGACTTGCCTTCATATTCGATTATTTTGATCTCAAACTTGGCGAGCTTTAGTTCAGGTCCCATATCAAAATAAAGTCCATTTTCTGAATCTTTATGTTTTAGTATCCAGAACGTGATTTTCTTTTGAATATATGCAACTGTCAATTGAATTGCTTCATAAACTTTAGCGCAGGAGAATTTCTCACCTAAAGTACACATGCATATTAAATCCTACCTAACAAAATGATCATTTGGGTTTAAAATTCTGGATTATTCCAATTTTACTGGAGCTGGAAGACCTTTTTTCTGACTCAAGGTTGATTTACTAGGAATGAGCTTTATTGAGGAATTTATCATTCCAGAATTTCATTCATGATTTGCGCGGTAACATTTAAATCTATATGATTTTTTATTTCATATAATATATGTATTATCACTAGTATGCTTCTGATCATATAATGGGCAGTGTGATGAAGAGATGCATAATAATGGAAATTTGTCAGAAAAGTCTTCAGATGGGTATGAAAGATTATATCCTTCTATGCTATTTTCTTCAAGTAATGATTCTACAAATTCAAATTCAGTCTGAGTGGTTTCGCTACTTATATCATTATTTTCATTTTCTTCGGTTAGGCATCTTTTAACTTTTGGCTCTGAAACAGCCAATAGAGGACTATCAATGACTTTAGAATCATCATTGGGCGGATGAATCATGAAATCAAAGATAGTTCCATCTTTTAGACGAATAGGTTTTTTTACACAAACGTGTTCGTCTATTTTTCATCATATTTGGATGACTAAATTATTCGCAAAAAGAAAGATTTGGAAGGATCTCTATTTGCTATATTATTGATAATACCTTTTTTCTGCAATCCTATTGGAAGTTTTTTACGAACAAGTTCAGTGAAAACTGAAGCCTTAGCGATATTTGGAAGTCTTATACCAAAAGTTAAGACATGTAGAGAGATTTTTTTTTATCACTACTTTCAGCAATAGACATAGTTTTTTATCCCATTTTGGGAAAATTTCTAGACAAGTATCTCTAAAAGCGCAACATAATGAATTTTTCACCTATTTGTCTGAAAGCTTGGAGATAATAGCATCTAATGTTTCTACTAGTAAATCAAAATCTATAATAGGCTGGAGTGGCTTATTACCATCAATATATTCATATAAAAAATGGCCTTCACAATCTGAAAGTATGGCTTCTATTTCATCCTCGTTATCTGCGTCAAGGAAATATCTTGGTCTAATACTATCATCACGAATATTATATAAGTATTTACCGATATCTTCAGTTTTAAAACCTTGTTTATACAGGGTAGGAGCATTAAGAAACTCTAATTGAGTTATGATAAAATTTTTTAGTTATGTTATCTAGTATACTGAAACAGTATAATACCTTAGAGATATCAAAGTGTTATTTATCTAAGAATAATATCAATAGACAGTAAATACATTTGCCAGTATCGTTTCAATGAAAGGGAGATGGCGGGGAAGTAGGAAATAAAAAGGGTGTTATATTCACCAAAAAAGACACCAGTGACCTTCATACAAACAAGATAGATGTAAAAGATGATAGCTTTTGAATATGGATTTTGTAATTGGCACGTAAAAAAGTATCATTTGAACACATATTATCATCAAAAAAAGTTGGATAAGATGTTTCAAAACTGTCAGATCCTGGAGACAATGAGACAGGCTCTCAATAGGATAAAAATACCCGATATAATAGAGTGTTGACCTTAAAAAGATAACAAACCCATTCCCCCTGAAGTTCTTTCTGAAAAATTTCATTATAGACACCAGAAAGGATAACTATATTATCAGTTTTAGCGCTTTTAGATTTCTGAAAAGCCTTCTAGGATATGCGTTCTCCCTGACCTTACTCACCCTAGAAAAATCGAAACTCTTATCTTTTTTTACCTATAGGTAAAAATATATACCATATACATATATAAACCATACATATATATCATATATATACCATTTAGAAAATTACAATTTTTTTTTCTAGAAATTACTACTTTTTATTACGGACAGTAGGGACACTAATCAAGAAAGAAATAAAATAGCCTAATAATCTCAAAAAAGATAACAAACCCGTCTTTCCTTCTGTCTTTCCTAAAAAATTTCACTATAAACAGAAGGGACAGCTCACAAAAATTTGGCATATATATCTTCTAATAATATACATATAAAATATTACTTGATATAGAGCCTTCTGGGAGCATTATCAGATAACTCTCCTAATAATATATGTATTTTCTCATAATACTTATATTAAAAAAAAGGCGCTATATAAATTCGCTTAATGTCAGCCAATATTATTCTATAATTTTAGCCAGAACTTTAGGTGTAATAACTCAACATCCAAGCTGACATATAGGTAGACTGAAACTGGCAAATGAATAGAAACTCTCAGGCTTCTAGTCAGTTTCCTACCAGTTTCTCAACTTTCTCAACAGCTTTACAGTAGTTCTAGGATACTATCAAGTCACCATCATGATGCCAAGCTTGATCCTCAAATCATATACTCTAAAGATCAGCCAGAATTATAGCATAATGTCAGCTGAAATTAATCGCAAATCCACTGCGCCACCTGTCACCTCTTTTTTTTACTATTTCAGTATTTTAAAAGGCAACCAAATAGGCATGCAACTCATCCATATTTATTAACCAATAAGTCATAGAGAGGGAAAGCAGGCCTCATCTTTAGGACATATTAATTAATAGATTTTAACATCTTAAGACATATTAATTAATAGGTTATAACGTCTTAGAACATATTAATTAATAGATTACAACATTCTAAAATATATTAGTCTAATACAAGTGGATTGTCTTAAGACATTTTAATATATTAATATATTAAAATGTCTTAGAATAATTCACTAATCTTATGTTAATACTAATATTTAGTTATTAGTATTATAAGATAACAATACAATTATTTGTAATATGTATAGA